TAAGTGTTATATTAATAATATAAAAATTGACATGTATTATTTAAATGAATAGAACTTTTAATCTAATTATTGGTTTTTAAAAATATTAATTAGAATATAAGGTTTTAGACAAATCTACATAAAAAAAATTTAGAAGAATGACCTACTCTACACTATCATACATATATATATATGTATATATATAAAGGCATAGGTTAAGTCTCATTAATTGTATTATTTGTAATTAATTTTATACAAAATTTCATACAAGATTAATTCAAATAAAATAAAATATAAAATGTAGAAAATATATTTATACTTGAAATTTGTAAAAATGTATGACTCTGATGTGAAAATTTGTCTAAAATTAATTAAGATACCCTAATTAATAGTCTTAACCAATGCCCTTAAGACACAAGTTAGAAAATTCCTATATATATGTGTGTGTGGTTGGTGATTATCTATCTTATTTCTTAAAATATATAAGGATAATTACTTTAAAATTATATCGTTTCAATAAAACACTATGAAAAAGTACTAAAGCCCTTTAGTTCATGTTTTAAAAATATGGTATTTTAATTTTTTTAATAAGAGTTTATTAAAATAATGTAATTTTGAAATAAACATCCTCCTAATCTCTAGAAAATAAAACATATAGACACTATTTCCTATATAAATATATATATTATAGAATATATAAATTTAAATTATGCTGATAAAAAAATACTAAAATTTATAATTCGTCCCATAAAAGTAGCTTTCAATATGCAATTCCCTACCTAATAAATAACATCAAACTGGGACTATAATCAAATAAAACTTCACATAAAAGCGGGACAAACCACGTAGGTCAAAAAAGAAAAGCACAGAGTGTTGGATTCTTGTCGGTTCAAATGACAATTTTTGAACTTGAAAAATGTCAAATTGCAAAGTAATTTTGTTACAGCCCAAGACTTCAAGCAAATTTTGAACAGCCATGGAAAGGGTGAATAACTGATCAGCAAATTTTGGATAAAAATCATCAAGTGGGAAATGAAATTAAACATAAACGTGGCAGATAGGCCTCTTTACCTTATGCAAAAAGCTACCTTTATAATTTCCTCCTTTTTTCTTTGAAATTACTCTATATGAATACAAGAGATTCTTAAAAGTATAATCCATAAAAGAATAGGAAGAGAGACGAAAAATGAATTTTTTAATTAATTAAATTAAAATATTTGAAAATATTATAATTTAATTGATTAAAAATCTTATCAATCCTCTTTCCTCTTCATCATTTCTCAAACCAAATATATTATAGATTTCCCTTCATGTTTTAGTAAAGGGAAATTTTTAATTTTTTCTTAAAAAGGAATTATAATGTAAGGGCTATTTGTTTTATCATTTTTTAAATAATTATTAATTGTTAACTTTAGATTATAAATAATAATTATCATGCTTTGGATATATTAATTAGCTACCAACTACATTCGAATAATTAATCCAAATGCCCCTAATTAAACTTGTAAAGGGCAAATAAGTTTTTTATAGACAAGGGAAAGGCCAAACAAACAAAACCTATACTTGTTGGTAAATCTATAAAATATGCATTTAACTTATATGTTTTTAACCCGACAACAGTAGGTTTTGGAGAAAAAAAAAACAAAAAAGAAACCAATACTATAAAGTTAAACAAATTTTATGTATGTATATATATATTTGTTTGTATATCAACTTAGTTATGAGTTGCATACAACATGCATAGTCATTTTCTTTTCCAAATCCCTCTTCAGCCTTAAGATTTGAACTTGAATGGAGTTTCAAGCTTTTACGAATGACATCCATAAGACCTTAAAAATATATAACTTACAACTTTCATATACTATTTTGGATAAGAACAGGATGAATTACTCTTCCTAGAACTTAATTAGAAGAATGATAAATGCATAGCCTTAAATCTCAAAAAATTTATTTAGGAGGACCATGTTGTTCCCAAGTGGTACACAATAATCTGAAGACACACTTAAGTCACCAATTGCATGTGAACGTGAAAATTGTTAGTTGAGTCCACCTTCTTTGCATGAAAACTACTTTGATAAGTGGATCAGGACATGCCATTATTTAGACGGCGAAGTAGTTAAGAATTGCTCCTATTTCTTTAGCAATATTACATGTCTTTGTCTTCCTTCTTCTTCTTCTTCTTCTTTTTTTTTTTTTTGTTTTTTTTTAAGAAAAATTATTGTTACACACTCAATTTAGCATACTTTTAAACATTTATCTCGATTTAATTATTAAAGTATAATATAAGAATAGTTGATTCAATTAGTCTTTACATTTTTTAATGCATAATTATATCTTTAAATTTATCTATTTTTAATTTTAAATAAAATAATAATAATTTTTTAATAAATGTATTGTACAATTTATTAAATAGGATTGTGTAATAATTATTGTTCTTTTTATTATTAGCCAAATATTATTTGTCTTTATATGGTTAAACTTCAAACTAATTTTTCATCAAAAGTTGAAATTAGATCAAATAAACTCTCTTAGAATTGTCTAGAGAAGAAATTGATTTCAACTTTTAAATAGTTAAAGTTTCATATTTAAAACTTATTTTATGTTATAGTCAATATTTTGGGCATAATTTAAGCTATCAAAATTTATATTTATTTATTAATTATTTTTCTAAATGTTTTCAAGGCAAAATTTATTCACATTATTTGCCTATTTAAAAAATAGTTGAAACTCCCTATTGTCAACAGCTGGTTTGCCCGAGAGGTTAAGGGGGAAGACTTAAGATCTTCTGCACATTAAGTGCGCATGGGTTCGAACCCCATAGCCAGCATTAAGATGTTATTATTTTATTTTCCCCTCTTTTTACATATACAACTATATTTTATTAATTAATAGGACCGACAAGCCCAAATCTATTATTTGGGCCAATTAGAAATCAAATTCAGATCCGGCCTGACCCGGACAACCCGAACTTTCCCCGCAAGAAAACCTCTTCTTCTTTCCTATTTCTTTTACCAGTCTGACATATTTCTCTTCACTCTTCCGATCGCCAGTCTCCTCCGAGCACTTCCGATCTGCTACCGACACGTTGTTGTCTCCAGGTATGAATCCGTCACACTTCGGTTGTTTTCCCCCTTTGAATCCTAGTGTTTGTGCAAAATTCATGTTAGGATTAGATTGTCTATCATCTCTTGAGATTCCAGTTTGGTAACTTCGTCGTAAGGTTCTTTTTTGGTGAGCTGAAATCGAGTTTGGGAAATTTCACTATTCTGAATTTGATATTTTTTTCTGTTCTTTTTCTCGGCAACCAAACATAAAATAGGTTTAGCTTTTAGGGAGATATTCGATTTGGTGGTTTTGACGAGCAATGCTGCTGATAAGCTCTTTCTCGCTATGAGAATTTCCTTTGAGATTGTGGTTTTACTGGGAAGTACCAGGCATTAGCAATATGTTAGTTTTTACTGATGATTTCTGTAAATAATTCTTAATTTTATTAGGGTTTGAACCATGAAGCTTGATACGAGCGGTTTTGAATCAACCGTACCGTTTTTTGGTACCAGTAGTGATTTGCTTGGTGGGTTGTCAGCTGCTCCTTCATTTGACATCCCTGCTACTACTGATGTGAGTTGCTGTTGCTTACATTATGTTATTTATTGGTTTTGTATGATAGAAAGGAGTGGTTTTATTCTTAATTTATCTTTTTCCTCTGGATATTTTCAGTTTGATGGGTTTCAGAAGGATGCTATTCAGATGGTGAAACCTGCTAAGGGTACCACCACTCTAGCTTTCATTTTTAAAGAGGGTGTCATAGTTGCTGCTGATTCTCGTGCATCCATGGGTGGCTACATCTGTATGTTCTCTGTTTGACTTGCTAGGGCTATTTTGCAAAAGATGGTTATTGTTGAATTAATTTGCTTAATTAACCTTCCATCAGAAATACATCTTAGGGAAAATGCTTAGTTGTTCACTCATCAACAATTGTAGATTAAATGATTATTAAACCCAAAAAAAAAAAACATTGCACATTAATTTTTCTAGTGGCAGAACTTGTGGCTTGGCCTGGGATGGAGAGAACAGTCTATTGTGATAACATTTCAAAATTATGAACTGAGTCTGTTTTCTAGGCCATTCCTTTTACTGTTCTCAACCTTCTTATTGGTATCAACTGTTAATGATGTTACCTCTTTTACGTTTGCTAACATTGTTAGGAGTGCTTTCATCAATTCTAGTAGTGGCTAGTAAGAAGTATAGAGTTGTTGAGAGGGATGGTCACCATGTCATACACCTAATGCACAAACATGCATTACTCTTTGTATTGTGTATTCACAAATGACTTAATGGCATTTTGAGTATTATTTCCATTTTTCTTGGTGATTTGTGTTACTAGGAGCCTGTGTCATTTGTTTCTTCTACTATTGTTTTCATATACTAAGATGAGACAATTATGTCTCTTCCCCAATTTTTTGCAGCATCACAGTCTGTTAAGAAGATTATTGAGATCAATCCTTACATGCTTGGAACAATGGCTGGTGGAGCTGCTGACTGCCAGTTTTGGCATAGAAATTTGGGCATTAAGGTACTGTCTTGACTATGGTTTTACTCTGAATGGTTAACATGTATTGTTAATATGTTGAGTGTTGTAATTTTGTTCTGTGGCTGTGCTGTATGCTTTTCGTTTTTGCTTATCTGTGGAAAATTCTAAAGGAGTTGTCAAGTAGTGGCTTTTTATGCAAGGGTTATATTGATGTTCTTTCAATGTACTTTTGAGACTGCTGCTTCTTTTCAGTTTTTTCCTTCTCTCTTTCAAGCATGGGTTTATGCTATAAAGAAAGAAAAAGAATAATATTATTATCTCAAAAACCTGATGTTTAAACCTTGAATATCCTATGGGCTCTAAATTTCTAAACCATGTAAATGAATCAAATATGCTAATCTTTTCCTGGAGACATCCCCAGTTCCCCACTCAAAATTGTAGTTTAGTAGGTAAAATTCAGTTGGAAATTCAGCACAACCTAGTTAATAATTAATAGGTTTGGATAATCTTTGGAAATCTGATGAGTGAACGATCGATCATTCTAACTGGCAAAGTCATATAAGTTACACGAATCATGTGTTTGGGTGTTGTATGCATTTTACTATTTTCTGAGCTGTTCACCATGAAGATGGGAAAAGGAAGAAAAGATCAAACGAATAAATGAGCTTTCTTGTGTTTATCTTTGCTTGTTTGTAAGAATGGCTGCTGAGGCCTGACCTTTCTAACTTTGATTTTTAAAATACACAGTTTCCATGACCAGACACTGCATATGTGTTTATTTCACATATATGAAATGCTAACGTATAATTATCTGCTACAATTTAGTGCCGGCTGCATGAATTGGCAAATAAGCGTAGAATTTCAGTAACAGGGGCATCAAAGCTTTTGGCCAACATTCTCTATTCTTACCGTGGAATGGGACTGTCTGTGGGAACAATGATTGCTGGATGGGATGAAACGGTATTTACATCATTTTGTTCTTTCTCTTGTTCCTTCCCTTTCTTATCTTACTGTGTACATTCATATGTTCTAACCTTTTCTCATAAGTGGATCTTATTTGGATTATAGGGTCCTGGGTTATACTATGTTGACAGTGAAGGGGGAAGGCTAAAGGGAACACGTTTCTCTGTTGGATCTGGTTCACCTTATGCCTATGGTGTACTAGATAGTGGGTATGGTTCTTTTGCCCTTCATTTTTGTAGCTATTCTCCTTTTGTATTGTCTCTGGAAAACTTATTCCTGGTGTTCGATGTAACTTGTTCTTTGGAATGCAGATGTTAAATCTAAGTTATGCTTATAAATGGGGAAGCAGGCAGTTCCAATCGATGAACAATTAGATATAATAATAAGAACTTGACTTGTCGATTTAACATTGAAAAACTGAAAGCAGAAAATTCCATATATTTTGACATGGCTTCTCCGATCTTTATATTCATAGCTTTACCCCCTAATTTGATAATGCCAGGTATAAGCATGATATGTCTGTAGAAGAAGCTGCAGAGTTGGCCAGAAGAGCTATTTATCATGCAACATTCCGAGATGGAGCCAGTGGCGGAGTTGCCAGCGGTATATTCTCTCTCTCTCTCTCTCTCTCTCTCTCTCTCTCTCTCGCTCTCTCTCTCTTAATTTGGTCTGAACTTTTCATCTTGATAATTAGTTTATCATGTGGGACCAAATGGATGGAAGAAGTTATCTGGGGATGATGTTGGGGAGCTGCACTACAAATACTACCCTGCTATGCCGAGTACAGAACAAGAGATGGTGGAAGCATAATTACTGGCCTAGATTGTCGGTCATTTCCTATTTGTACTCTTGATATTTGTGATGAATTTACTTAGAACCTGCTTGAACGAATCAGTTAGAACCTGTTCTTTACATCGTGGATAGAGTGATTCCACTCTGTTCTTAAAGTGGGAACACCACTGGGAGGTAAGATGTTCAACCCCCAGCTTCCCCTTCCCCCACCCCCTTAAATATATAATATAGTAGTAGACATTTGCTTTGTTAAAGAAAAAAAAAAAAAACAGTTAGAACCCTGTTTTTGTGATTTTCAATCCGTTCATTGAGATAATTTAATGAAAGCTTAAACTTAGCTACAACTTTTGCTTTGTTCAAGGTCAGATGACTATAACAAAGTGCAAAATTCAAAGGTGTTTATGATGATCTCTTATTTTTGTTGGCCTTCATTGGACCTGAGATGAATTACATGTAGAATGACGGAAAGAGGGAAGACTAATATGTTTCACTGAATTTTGGTCTGTTGGGGAAAAATATATGAGAACCATGTTTATGGTAAAAGGGCCCCAGTTGAGATGATCAAATTTCAATAAGAAATGATTGATTGAGATTGAACTCCAATTTCATACCAACATTAACATCCCTTGGCTACGAAGCAAAGGATTCTTTTCCTCTGTCTATCAATACAAAATGTCCCTTTCAAAGAACGTATTATTTCCCATTCAGAGTATCACATGATGTTCTTGTAGGTTAGAGGTGAATTGTTGATGTTAGGCATGACAAGGTTTGTACTCATTTAACGGATACCATAATATTAGAACATGTAGTTGTTGCGAAATGATTCACCTATTCTTATGTTACAATAGAGTCTCACAAGTATGCATAATATACTATAATTGGCTCTTTTCATTCAGTAAAATACGTGAATCAATATGCTTACATTCCTTTAATGTTATGCAACTAGATTTTGTTATAAGAAAAGATTGTATATATATTAGCTTTGATAATTATTTGATTGGGCAGCTGGGATTATGATTTTTACTCCAATAACAAGAACATGAAACAGTGCAGAAGGAAACATAAATAAGCAAGCAATTATGCAATATGCTTTCTCTCTCTCACACACACACAATTCTTTTTTAGCTTCTAAGCATGTTTTCATGATTGAAAGTGAGATATAATCATCACTTCTATGGAAAATGGGTTGGAGGCGTGGAGCATCATTTGTCAATAAAAAGTGTGCTGGATGGAGCATTAAAGAAATTCTTGTCCAGCAAGTGACACTCTGACTGGATGTCAAATTTTGTGGGTGAGATTATGACTTGTTAAGCACATTAATATTATCCATAATTTTATTTATTTATAATTTTTAAAAAATAATTAATTATGATATTTAAAAATATCTATTTATAAATAAATTTTAATTTGTTAATTAATAAATATCAATTATTATTTTCTTTGTCTATAATAATTATTTTTTTTACTTTTAATTTATCTTAAATTAATTATTTTTTAATTTTTAAGTTCGACAAATTTTTTTGTTTTTAATTTTACCATTATTTATTTACTTTAATTAATTATCATATCACCAAAAAAATTTATTTTTTTTGTTTTTTTTAATGATAACATAAGTAAATATATAAATTGTCCATAAATTCTTCTATTAAAAAAGTAACACTTTTTTAAATAGATGGAGTACCATTAATAAATTATAGAGTCAATACATAAATAAAGAAAAACATATTCATTTTTTGGGTGAAAATTATATTCATTTTCATAATATACAAATAAAAAAGTATTATGTAGTTTGAACTGTTCTATAAACTGTATAATTTAAACCATTAAATGAAAAATAGGTTTTTGATATTGGAACCTATCCTCTATCTAATAATTTTTATTTTACAACCTACTATAATATGAATGGTAAGACAAGGGGTTCATACAAAAATATATATATATATATATATATACATTTGGGTGATTAATCAATTGTGGAGCAAACCTTTTGGACCATTTTTTGATTGGCAATTTTCAGGGGAATTGCTACTTTTTCAGCTGCCATCTTCAAAAAACACTACTAAGTGTTTGGACACTAATTATTATACATTTTGATTTAATATATTGTACAATATATTTATTAAAAAATTATTATTATTTATTATAATATTAAAGGTAAAACAAATTTAAAAATAAAACCATGCATATATGATACATAAATCAATTAAATTAAATTATACTTATATTATATTTTAATTTAATATCTGCACTAATCCAATATCTAAAAATATATTAAAAATAATGTGTACTAATTTTTTTCCGAAAATACTTAGATGATTAAAAGTCAATAAAAGAGGATAGGATGTGATAAGGCTGCTTGTAGTTTGGTCCCCCTAGTTAGCCCGCAATGATGTTTAAAAATATCCAAGCCAATGTTGAAACGTTGATGGAGGCCGTTCAAAAGCCAACAGGATATGAGACCATTCACATTCTAGAGTGTACATGTGGATATATAAGCCGTGGGGTACATATATAGTGTGTTGCTATAAAAATTCAAAATTCTAACACCATGCTACAATTTTTGTTTCATATTAAGGAGGGAACTGACGCCAGTTACTGTAATAAAAAGACAATAAGTACCCTAAGCACGTTGATCTTAATCCATGCAAATCACCTTGACTGGACCACCTCCGAAGTTCTAGCACCATCCAACGTCCCACTCCTAATTAATATAATTTCATTTCTATGTAACCAAAGAGAAGCTGTCAACACCACTATTCTAGCTACCATGCACGGCCATGAGCTATTCCATAAACAAAGTCCATTCAGAAAATGCAAGAAAATGTGACGGTTAGATGGTCACGAGGGAATCTGGACGCATGGTGGAATGAAACTATGTGTACTAATGTAATAATGTTATTAGGTAGAGGATAGGAGTTTATTATTATTATTATTATTATTTGGGTGAATTGAGGGTAGAGCTTCTTTTTTTTTTTTGAACAAGTTATAATTAACATAATTTATAACTATTTGATCAAAAAGGTTAGATAAAAATATAAAATAGAGTTGATATGCAAGAAATGTAAGAAAATGAATTATTTACTTAGATTGAGTAAAATATCCCTTATATCTTTAAAATATATTATTCATTTGTTGTAAGAAAAAAAATAAAATTGACACTAACATGCATATATCCAAAAAAAAAGAAAAAGTGTTGTTTATTTTGCCTGACCAAATGTTATGTATTATTCAAATTCTTGTATTTTTATGAGACTTTTTAAATTATAAAAATTTAAGTATTTCAAATTTAGAGGTTTAAAATTAAAATATTTAAACAGATATAAAATATTTTCAAATATTTTCTAAATAATTATTATACAATTACGAATTGTATATATCAAAATTTGTTATTCGAGTAATGATTAACAAACCATCAAAGTCCCCACAATAATTTTTCATGTGGTCATATCCGTGGCCAACAAGGACAAGCTTGACTAACTAACAATCATACACCATTATCAAATTAAATAAAAGTACATTACACTGTTCAAAAATAAAAATTAAAGTACAATACGAAAACATGATTAAAAAGCAAAAGCCAACCGGGCCTGTGGCCTAATTGGTTAGCCCCCAAATTTTAGGGTTTAGATGAGGTGGAGGTCAGGGTTTCGAACTCTACCACCGTCGTGAACTCCATCAACTTGCGATCTAATGGTCGTGCACCTCAAATGAGGGGGTTGAAGGTTCACTTTCCTGGAAAAATTCCAATTACTAACAAACTAACTCTACTAATTTCCTAACCATTTACCTGGTAAAAAAAAAAATAATTAAAAAACAAAAGAAAAGTCAAATAATTATTACGTGTAACAAAAACATTGAACACAAAAATCAACACTAAATAATAATAATACAGAAACTCAAAGTTAAGACTGTGAGGGGTATTTTAGACAAAATCCACTGACTCTGATTTTGTTGGCAGCCGACATGTCCCCATTCAGGGGTACGGAGTCAGCAATTCCCTCCTATCAATTATATCTGTGGGCCCGCAGTAGCCTATCCACGTGGCCAGTTTTCCGACAACCGATTTTAACACCCCCGCGAGACTCCCATCCAATTCGACAATAATTGCCCGCCATTCAGATCCGATATTCACGGAATTTTCTGTTGTTTTTTTCCCCCCGCTTTCCTCTTCTCTCCCACCGATCGACGGTTGAAAAAAACACACTTCTGATCACGGACTGACACAGGTGGGCGGTTGCCACTTGCCGGAGCGTGGTTGCTATGTTCCCTGATATGGACAGATCGGAGGGGTAAAGGAAACGTGGCGCGCAATTGTGGGATATTCTGATTGCTGAGATTCTGAGAAGGCAGATATCCGGTGGCGGAGGGGAGTTTTGTTTTTATGCATGAAAATGGGATGTGATTTCAATTGGTCTACGCACACCGTTCAAATTTTTAAATATTTGTGGGCGGTTTATAATCGAGTTGAGACATTGCTTGGTTTGAATAATTGGATTCATGTTTAATAATTTAGACTATAGTATAATTTGTTATATAAATTTATTTAAATATTTTTAATAAAATTATTTTTATTATTTTATTAAAAATATTTTAATAAATTTATAAGGTAAATGATATTTTTAATATATAATTTGTCATATAAGATATATATT